CTCTCTCACATCGATGTTTCTCTCTCTCTCTCCATTCCTCTCTCTCTAAAAAGCAATGGGAAAAATATCCTCGGGTGAGGATTAAAAAAATAAAAAGATATGTTCACACATGATTCTCTTTCAATTTGAAAATTAATGTAAGGAGTTTAAATATATATATGTATGTGTGTGTGTAAAACAAACCAGGTAAAAGCTCATATTTGTTAAGAATGTAAAGATTTACTCCTGTTTTAAAAAGTTACAAGGTCAATGTAGAAGTATTAAAACATTCTATGAGAGGAGAAAAAGAGGGTTTTGGTTCTCTACTAATTTAGCAGAAGCAAAATTTGATTGTAACTTATTTCTAAAATCAGTTTGAAAGAGTCTACTTTGTAAGTGTGCACATCCCCATCACCAGAATATATGATTTTGTTTCCAGCAATGCAGAGAGAATTGGAAGCCAACGATTAAAAAGAGATTACTACCCACCACCAAATGATTCCGTATTAGGACCTCAGTGGCTAAAGTAATTAACACAGAAATAATTATTCCAGAGTGACTCTTTATTAATTTTTACTAATAAGAAATTTAAATTAGATTTTAAGGACTCAATTATTTACCATATTTTCTCAGATTTAACTACTTCTTATTTCTTGGTAATATGCTTTAAGGTCATACTGACATCAAGAGATTATTATTTATCCTTGTGTTCACCTTAAACCATTGGCACAGAACACTGGTTTCATATCCCAAAATTTATAGGTAATTTTTAAAGACAAAGTATAGCTGAAACATTCAATACCCAATTGTGGCTAGTTGCTAAGCATTAACTGGCACTTAATAATTTATTCCTGAGAAATATGGCTTATTGCCACATATACTCACTTTCAAATGTCACTTATTAAACATTAAGAACAAGTGCAAATATTTATGTAGGAACAGAAGTGCACAAGTTTATACATGTAAATTTTTTAAAATCAAGATATTTGACAATATTTTCATCTCAGCTATTATCTGAAAACATACTTGTGAGACTAAAATAATAGAGCACTCCATACTAGAGAAAGAACTCCATATCCTAGTGTCTATAATGCTTTCACTGAGATTTCATTTTAAGCAAGTATTTGTTCCTACTGAATGGCTTATTATCTGCAAAAATTCTTGCAAACTCTTTCAAGGAAATAACACTCAAACACCCTACTTACAGACAGATGCAAGAATACTAGCCTTCTTGGGGGAGAGGAATAGGAGGAAGAAGGTGTATTCTAAAGAGCAACTTTGCACTGCCAAATTTCTCAAGAAACCTTGCTAACTATGGCCCATCTTAGGTATTTCTGAAATGCAGCAATACTACTCATCGGGAGACTAAGTATGGTGCACAGCAGGTGCTCAGTAACTGTTCTATTTTTAACTCATGAAAAGTTAAAGTTCAAAATATTGATCTTATACAAAAATTCAACTACTATTAAACAAAAGTATGGCACATAAGGTTTTTTGTTTTGTTTGGTTTGGTTTGGTTTGTTAAAACAACTTGATCAAAAGCTTTCTTTAATGGAGGTCTTGTAACAACTAATTTTAAGTATGCAGAAATTAACAAAAATCAGGAAGTTAACCACTTAACATTTCTGAAGTTCATAAAACTAATTTTTCACATTATGCTCAAATTGAGACTTCCAAAAAGCAAAAAAGCTGAATCTGGAGTAGTGAATAGGCTGAGAATTCTGATTCTGTCATCCACTTACTGAACCTCCCCACTTTTGATTTTAGCATACTGGAAAACACACAGCTGACTACCATGGGGTCAATGTTTTGGTTTCAACAGCCTTTGCCAACATTGCCATGCACTGTCCAAAGAAGCCAGGAAATGTGGCAATTCCTAACTGCCCAGATAAATGTAAACTAGGAAGCAGTCTTTACAGAGTAGGAACATAGGGACCACATGCTGCATACCAGCAGAAAATAAAAATTACTTTAGCTTTTCAAATATGAACTAAAATGATTGTAAAGAAATATAATTCATTATATCCCAGCAATATAGTGAACTTTTTAAAGTTGATAAAATATATATTCTGCAACCTTTATCTTAAAAAAGTACTAGAAGAAAAATTCCCTTTTTCTCCCCTCCTACTTCCCTTTCACAGAATGCATAAGTTTTACTTTGAATTTTACAGGCTAACATTAGTAATTTTAAGTTGAAAAGTCTGCCCTAAGTTCTCATGTGTAATGAAACAATACAGTACCCCAGAAGGCCAAATGTAGCCACAGTCGATTTTTGTACTGCCCAAGAGCTTAGAATGATTTTTGCATTTTTAAAGGGTTATAAGAAAAAAAATGCAACAGATACCACTTGTGGCTCACAGTGCTTAAAGTATTTATTATCTGGACCTTACCAGACAAAGTGTGTCAGCCCTTCACTTATACCCAGGAGAAGCTCTAAATTAATGTCCTGTTCCTACTACTTTGAATGTAATTCTTTTTGGTGTTTGTGTTTTAGGTTCATGCTCAAGACTAAAAGGTCATAAAATAAGTAACTTGATAAAATACAAGGATATGCATATTTATTTTGTTCAAATAAGAAATAAATAATAGCAAATAATAAAATACTCTGCAGAAAATAGGGCTTCAAATTTTCACAAAAAACTGGAGATGTAAAATTTATAAAATTTATGTTTCATTTTATAATCTCCACAATTAGTACTTGAATAGATGTTTATAAAGTCTTCCAAAAGCATGCAAATATCTAATTTTGACAGAAGAAGAATAAACTTCTGAAAGGCAAATCAACAAGTCTATGTAATAAAAAAAATCAAAGGTCAGAAACTAAATATCTAAGTTATAGTTTAGCAACATAAATTACATAAAGATATCAATACAACAGAATATAAATATAAGAAAAGGTGAGCGTTAGAAGGTTAAGAAATAAAGTATTCCTTTATATCACTCTATATTTTAAGTAGATGATCCACATAAATGTCTACAAAGCAAATTTAAGTTAATCCACTTCCATATCATACATACTACATATATCTTCCCCACTCCCACCCCACCCTCCCAAAAGAGTATAAAACCTAAAAATCTATTTTAAACAGAAACCAGGTAGTTTTCTGATTAATTATGAATGCTGTGGTATATTAAAGCATTAATATCAAACACTAAGAATCCACTAGTACTTCTGAAATAGTAACCAGAAACAAACACTATTTTAGGCTCATCAAATGAGAAGTGCTTTGTGGGAATAAGAAGTCTCTCTTTTATTGTCCTCTATTGTCTCTGTACTACAACTATGGCCCATGTACCAAAATCAGCATCACCTGAGAGCCCGTTAGGCACTCAGAATCATAGGTTCCAACCAAGACTATTGAATTAGAATCTAAATTTGAATAAGCCCAGTTCATTCATACGCATAAAGTGTGAGAAGCACTGCTCTATTTGCAATAGGCAAAGTCTCTTAGTTTTTTTCTCTATAAAATTTAAACTAAAATGTTAACTGGTTTAAAAGGTATCTTTAAAAGTTACAAATAGTGCAAGTTAAGAAAATGTTAATGGTAGTAGGTTTGCAAATGTTTTCAATAAAATTCCTTTAATTTTAGATTTGTAAATTTTCATAAGAAAATGCTGGGGGAAAAAGTTATAAATATTATAATAACGTGTTCTGAATACCTCCTCTCTAACAGAAAACAAGGAATCTGGTCAGAGACCAATAAAAAGAAAACAAAAACCAAACTTCTTCCCGCCTATGTACTTAGGAATGGATGTGAATAAAATCTTAATTCTTCTAAAGTAAAGTATAATGCTGTATATCAAGTCTTTTTTAACTTATAAATCAGATTTTAGAATCAGATATTTGTACTATGATCAAACTACAGAAATTCAGCTTTTAATCCTAAAACAAAGATTTAAAATAGAATTCCCTGTTTTTTCGCTGTGTACCAAATTTGTGTAACTAGGAAGCAGTACTTTTCCACTGGAGAAATAGAAATATATACTAGCTGAATGATGGTTTACTTTTAAATTTTTATCCCTTTACAAAATTCAATGAAAGTTCTAGAATGCCTGTTTTTACAAGTTTAATTATGTAATGATTTCATCAATTTTCTTAACTCCTAGCATTGCAGTTTTCTGGACTCATGGGTACATGTAGCCAGACAAAGCGCTAAACAAATGTTCACCTTGCATGGAACATAAATTGACTAATTTCTTAGTATATGAAAATTATATTCCATCATATCCTTAGGTATTCCTTTCTAGGATTTTTTTCTATATATTAAACTCTTAACTTCATACAAGTAGGTTAAATAATAAACTAAACTGTTTTATTTTGCCTACAGAAAAGTTACTTTTAAAATGTAGGTAATCTTTGAAATAAAAGTCAAGATTAACCTGGCATTCATTTTTGTCAGAAAAACCCAGTTAATGAATAACTGAGAATTTCTATTTATTTTCTAAATATTCCCTTGCTTGAATGAAAACTTTCTCCAAAAATACATATATCCTCAAAAAAATTCTACCAAAGTAAAATACTTCAAAATATAACAAATTTAATCTAGAAACATATGACATAAGATTCTTAAATGCACTTCTAAAACAGGAAACTCAATATTTGTTCCCCTGTTCTTTCACTTTATAAATGTAACAGCAAAAAAAAAAAATTCCCCACATTTCTTGAAACCTGAATGTAAGATGTGCTGAGCTGAAGAGACTGTTCAATGTGGAAAGAAACCAAAGCCAAAAGTAATACCATGGAGACTGGATTAAGAAGCACTGCCCTCTCATATCCTTAAGGGAACATTTACCAAATAAATGGTTTTACTTCCTATTTTAGTATAACAGAAGGAAAAAGTGATAAATTACATTGAACAAAATAACAATTATGGTCTCAGGTATGTACATTATTTGTTTTTCCCTCCTGCCCTGCAATAATGATGTTATAAGGATATATATTAGTAAACTATGATTAATAACTAAAATCACTTGACATAATTTGCACAGAATAGATCTGTATTTATTGCAGTTTTACTTACCTGTCTTGTCTTTGCTGATGTTTCAATAAAAGGAATTCCGTAACTTCTTGCTAAGTCCTGAGCCTGTTTTGTATCTACTGTTCTAGAAGGCAAATCACATTTATTTCCTACTAGGACCATAGGTACATCTTCAGAGTCTTTAACTCTTTTTATTTGTTCTCTGGGGACAAAAAGAAAACGTGCATGAGATATATTAGAAATACAAAACTTTCAAAAATTATACATACCTTTTCTTATAAAATGAAGACTTTTAATTTAATTCCTTGTTCCCACCACACCAAATTTTCCTTGTTTTCCTTTTCATTATTGTTTTTCTCCATCTTAAACAGAGAACTTCTATATATGTTAAAGGATCAAATACCTAGAAATATATTAAAACTACAGTCTAATAGGTTCATATGCAGGTAGGTCACATGATGAAACAGAAAATATTGAAAATTCTAGACCAAAAAAGTCCTATTCCTAATTTTAAAAATTATAACCTTACAAACATATACTACACATGTTGTTAAATGTGTATATCTAGAATTAAAAATGTTTTTTATAAAAACATGAACTATATCATTAACATAATTTTCACATTCCTTTCTCAGAAAAGAGCGCCAAGTGGAAAGATTTTGATTTCTACATAGATAACACAGATGTTACTACACTGTTTATTCTGTAAGAATCCTTCTTTTTCAATAAGATGTGCATAAACCCTAAATTTGGGGTAAAATTAAATTCCTTCAAAATTTTAAGTGAATTTCAAAGATGCAGCATGAAATAAAAAGCCAGTTATTCTACAAAAGTATTACTACCCACCCCAATTTATTTTTCTCTATTACTAGACTATAGAGAAAAGATGCTGTAAGAAATGATAAGTAAAATGTTAAACCTCTTAACTAGGCTAGCTCACCATTAAAACATAGCTGATGAATGGAACATTTACTTTATATGCAGTTTTATGAAAACTGTAAACCCTCAAAGAAATAGAATATAAACTATACTTAACAGTGATTATTTTAATAAAAATAGTCAGTTTTAGGCTCATTTTTCAGTTTCTTTAAAAACTAATTGTTCTAATACTTCAGTCTTTTACAACTTCAGAGTTGTGCGGTTTTGTTGTTGTTTTTTTCTTAAATATCTAATAGCCAATTCCAAGAAATTCTACATTAAAAATACTTGATTCTTTTTAAGGTCATTTGAGTGGCACTGCCTCAATTAGATTTTCATATTTTTGTTGATGCTTTTCATTTTTATAATAGCTCTAGCTTAAAGTCTGTTTCCCCTGTGTAGAATGGTTAAGGGCACAGGTTTTAGAGTCAACAGGACCTAATTTCGATCCCAGCATCAACACTATCTATGCAAGCTGGAACAAGTTACTCAACTTCTCTAACCCTCAAGAACTTCATTTGTAAAACAGGGATATTATCTACCTCATAATTATTCTAGAATTTAAATTAGGTCACTTATGCATGGTGATTAGCAAAGACTCAATAAATGGAAGATACAATTATTCCTCAATGTTAATTTACTATATTCAATTTAAACCCACCTATAATGGTGAATATCTTCAAATGATTTAGTATTATTTATGGCAAATACACAAAGAAAGCCCTCCCCAGTCCTCATGTACTGGTCCCTCATAGCACTGTACTCCTCTTGACCTGCTGTGTCGAGAATGTCCAAGAGACAGGTTTCTCCATCAATTACTACTTGTTTCCTGTAGGAATCCTGAGAAGGGAGAAACACAGTCTAGATTATTAAGGTGTACCTTTACTTTAAAAAGGGGTTAGACACAACTCAAGAAAAAAGCCCAATTCACAACTGAGCAAATGACTTGAACAGACATCTCTCCAAAGAAGATAGACAAATGGCCAATATGCACTGAAAATATATTCGAAATCATTAGGGAAATATAAATCAAAACCACAATGAGCTACCACTTCACAGTCATTAGGATGGCTAATATATATATATTTTTTAAAAAGGTAAAAATAACAAGTGTTAACAAGGATGTGTAGAAACTAGATCCCTATCCACTGCTGGTAGGGATGTAAAATGGTGCAGCCATTGTGGAAAACAATTTGGCAGAATTACCATATGATCCACCAATTCCAATCCTTGGTATGTAACCAAAAGAATTGAAAGCAGGGTCTCAAACAGATATTTGTATGCCAATGTTCACAGCAGCATTATTTATAATAGCCAAAATGTAGAAACAACTCAAGTGTTTATTAACAGATAAGTGGATAAGCAAAATGTGGTATATAAACACAGGGAAATATTATTCATTCATAAAAAGGAATAAAATTCTGATAAATGGTACAACATGGATGAACCTTGAAAACGTTATCCTAAGTGAAATAAGCCAGACACAAAAAGATAAATACCTATTATTCCACTTATATTAGACACCTAAAATATGTAAAGTTACAAAGACAGAAAGTAGAATACAGATTAGCTGAGGGTGGGGTGGGGAGGGGTTGGAGAGTTACTGTTCAACGGGCACAGAGTTTTAGTTTAGGATGATGAAAAAGTTATGAAAATAGAGCTAATGGTTGCCCAACGTTGTAAATTTACTTAATGTCATTGGGTTGTACATTAAAAATGGCTGTAATAGTAAATTTAATGTTATATATATTGTACCCAAATTTTTAAAAAGCTGTTACACAGAGATTCAACAATGCAAGTGCAAGACCTAAATTCCTATTAAAAATAGTTATTACAAAAACGAGCGCCCTGGCTTGTGTGGCTCCGTTGGTTGGGCATCCTCCTATGCACCCAAAGGTTGCCAGTTGGATTCCCAATCAGGGCACATGCCCGGCTTGCAGGCTCGATCCCCAGTAGGGGGCATGCAGAAGGCAGCCAATCAATGTTTTGCTCTCACATCGATGTTTCTTTCTCTCTCCCCCCCTTCCCTTCCTCACCCTCTATAAATCAATAAAAAAAATCTTTTAAAAAAATGGAATAGCTCCACCAACTCTTGTTATTCAGGATGATTTAGATGGCAAGAAAAAAAAACAATCGGCTTACAAATAAATGTCATGCATCTATTTTACTTAGTCAAAGCAATACAAAGAGAATGGTCACTACTGAGGATTTTAATGCCTTTATCCATATCTGAAATCCTGGGAACAATATCTCACAGCCAGATGGATACTATGATAACTCTAAAGTATGGATGGTTTATCTACAAATTCTGTGGGGGAGAATAGATGGCTATCTTAAAGAGACTATGCAACTCTAAGACTGAGTAAAGGAAAGGCAGTGGGTAACATAAACAGAATCTTAAAATGAAAATCTGATTTTCTTTAATTTTTTTATTTTTAAACATATCTTTATTGATTTCAGAGAGAGGAAAGGAAGGGGGAGAGAGAGATATAGAAACATCAATGATGAGAGAGTCATTGATTGGCTGCCTAGCCAGCAACCCGGGCATGTGCCCTGACCGGAAATCGAACCCCGATCTCCTGGATCCTAGGTCGATGCTCAATCGCTGAGCCCCACCTGGCCAGGCTAACTTTTGATTAATACTCATGCCTAAAAGATTTCACACACTCCCTGCAAAAACAGGCCTCAAAAAAATAAGGTAAAAGGAATGGTGCAATGTGAAGTCATGGAATAAGAGGTGAGGCTGATGATAGGTATAAAGTATAAACCAAGGGCACAATTTCTTATTGTTCCACATGTGGACTTAGCACGAAAGTGTCTTTATTTGATAAATTAGTTTACAGATCATTCCATCATGAAAAGAAAATGGTCATTAAAAATCACGTTTTTGATAAAATATTTTTTAAATGTTTACAGTAGAATACAAAGATATATATCTCCAGCAATGGGGAAGAGTAGGTTTATAGTGGTTAGTACACAAAAAATAAAGTTTATTCTTATATTATTTATTATTGTATTATTTTCCATATGAACTGTAAACCTACCTTTGCCCATCCCTACATATGGTAGCATGATCCCAATAAAATATATGTACATATCAGTATCAATGTGTCTGTACATACATTTAAAAACTGATGGTACTACATAAAAAATGCTAATAAAGGCTGTCTTTGATGGAGATAATTTAAGAAATAATTTACCTCTTATCTTTCTGTACTAGATGCTATGTTAAATGTTATCCCTTTTCTGGCTTTTAATTTTTAAAAGTCTGAAAGACTACCATATTAGGCTGTGATCTCATGCTTATCTTTTAAAGTAAACTGTATTTTAATAAAAATTATTTCACTAGTCAGAAAAAAAAGGGTAGATATTTACTCTCTAAGCAAGAAGCTCTTTACTAAAAATTCGAACATGTGGTTGACATTTTATTATTTTTGCCTACTCCCTTAATTAACTACTTAAAAGAACTCTTGTATATTATAAATTGAAAACAGTATTTTTAAGTATAATGAAAGAGCAGGAATTGAGAGCAAAGTACAGTGTCTTAGAGTCAATCCATTCATTACCCAGGTGTGGCTAGAGACCAAAGACTTTTCCTTACCTGCTGCTGTCCCCTCACATTCTTCACTAACCAATACCTAAGTTAACCTTATTGTTGATAGTTTCCTTAGTCTTTAAATATAAAATATTTTACCAACAATAAAATTCAAGACTACAGTTTCTGGAGCCACACAAGTCTATACCTAAGGTGTGGCCGGGAGATTACTCACCATCTGCCCACATATATAATGCCTCCAAGATGTAGCTCAATAAAGTCCCATTTACAAAATTTTCAAATACTTTGTATTTCAAAGGTATTTAATGTGGAATATTTGTAGCTTCCCTCCATCAAATGGACTGAGAAACAGGGAAAGCAGTCCCTCCCTATTCACCCACCTCATTCCTCTTATCTTTTCCCTTCTAAACCTCATAAATATTAACAGCTAAGTTCTGTGTCACATTCAGTTATTGAAAAAAGTAATCCACAAACTACTTATAAACAATGAGTAGACTCTGCTGATTAGAAATAACAGATTTAGGTTAAAACTTCAGTATTTCCAAAGTTAATTTTAACTAGAGTCATCCTTAGAAGCACAACGTTCATTGAGCTATATAAAAAGGCAGTTCAACTTGGTAAAAACTTAAGAATAAAAATGTTAAAAGGCAAAGCATGATCTGAAAAAAGAACTGCAGGTCTGATAACAAAGCAGAAAACAAGCACAACAAAGAGAGTATATAAATACTAAAGATTTTGCTCCAACTTCAGTTTAGCCGTTAGGAAGAAGTATACGGAGGTAGAAAAATTTAGTCATCAGTGCATGGTCTTTCCCAAGATTAAAGTCTAAATAAGGGTTCAAGCAAACTATTGCTCACAGGCCAAATCTTGCCCACCTGTTTTTGTCTGGCCCATGAACTAAGAATAGTTTTTACGTTTTTAAATGGTTGTTTAAAAAAACCAAAGATTATGAGACAAAGACCCATATGGCCCTTCATAGAAAGTTTGCCAATCCTGTTCTACTCTAATAAAATACCTATCACAAATCTGAAGTATTCTCAATACATATTATTTATTCCTTTCATACTTTAAAAATAAACCATCGCTCGGAGAAAGTACAGGTTATCAAAGCCCAACCAGTTTTAAACACAGATTTTAAAAAGAAACTAGTTAAGAATAGAGCAAGAAAAGGATCAAGAACATTCTTAATTAGTATTATTTCCAGTCTTTCAGACAGAAATAAACTTTCAGATCAGGTACACAGGTTACTAACATCCTTTGGAAACTAGGATAAAATAAAGTCACTTTAACTCAACGTAACAAAATATTAAATGTAAGAAAGTTTTTACATATATTTTCCCTCTCAGCTAAAGTACTATTGTTTTACTTACGTAAGTAGTAAAAAAAAAACTTCTCTAAATGAAATATACTATGCTGGCAGAAGTCAACTGTAGAAAGAACTCAAACATTTCTAGTGATATGACAGACACAATCCTTTTGGAAAGCAATTCCAGTATTTATCAAGAACCGCTCAAATGTTCATCGCCTTTGACACAGTAATGCCACTTCTGGTAAAAGATGCTAAGGAAATATGGTTTATTTCCTTTTAAATGGTAGTTACAATAGATACACTTAATGTGGCAGGCATTCTAAAATGTCTTACAAAGAAAAATTACATAGGTGTTTAATGACCTACAACCTTACGCCATTGACCTATGTTCAAAATATAGTCCAAATCCAAGCACCCACCAGCACCGTCACCCTAGTCCATAATACCATTCTGTCTCATGCAATCTCCTGCAACTGCTTCCTAACAGGGATCCTTGTTGTTACTCTTAACAATACATTCTCCACATAGCAGCTAGTAATTCTTTTTTAAATGTCATTTGCTTTAAATGTCTTGCTTGCTTAAAGTCCTTCAATATTTGTATCCCTTCATTCTTAAAATTAAAATTCAAAGGACTTATCACTCTCCTTACTCAGCACCTCTACATTTCCTTTGTATCATGTACTATAATCTGTACTGTGTATTTATAGTATTTGTGTAATTGTTTAAGTCTATATCCCCTACTAGGTTTTAAACTCCATGACGGTTGAGCTCACATCACATGTTCTGCTCACCATTATACACCCTGTGTGCAAGTCTTGAACACAGCAAGTACTCAGCACTATCTGTTCAATAAATGAATGAATCCATTCAACGTAAATAAATGCAGACTCTATAAAACTGTCTTATCAAAATAAGTACAAGTTTAATAGTTTCAATTATATTAAAACACGTAATAAATTTTTAAATTATAATACA